CACCTCAGGCCACACCAGGAGCAAGACAGAGTGGCTGACGCTGTCGTGGGAAGTCGCCTTAGCTATTTTTCCCACTTGGCTACCCTTCCTGTCTTTGAATTTTCAGGCTCCTTACATGTGGCAGCTTCCAAGCACAGAATTCCAAAGAGCTGAATTCTCTTGATTCATCCTAATGTCAGCACAGAGTAAGTAACTGAGAATCCCAATAACCCTGGAGAAACAGATGGACATTTTAAATCACAAACATTTATGCGCAACCCAAATGTTGAGGTTTTGAGCAAAACAGGGAACTAGATCTTAGCCATTTTTGAGTCCTTTCATTCAAATGTCATAAAATTACTTTTGGGTCATAAATGAGGGAATCTACTAAGACATCGGCAAAAAAAAAGGAGAAAAGATACCCCAGGTTGAATGATGGAAACAGTATGGTAGCCAGGCTCGGTGGCTCAGCCTATAATCCCAGCACTTTGGGAGGCTGAGGTGAGTGGATTGCCTGAGCCCGCGGGTTTGAGACCCGCCTGGCCAACTTGGTGAGACCTCATCTCCACGATAAATCAAAAAATCAGCCGGGCGTGGCAGCACATGCCTGTAATTCCAGCTACTTGGAAGGCTGAGGTGGAAGGATCGCCGGAGCCCAGCAGGTTGAGGCTGCGGTGGCCGGGAGTGGCCACTGCACTCCAGTCTGGGTGACAGAGTGAGACTCCAACTCAAAAAAAAAAAAAAGAAAAAAGAAAACAGTATGGTAGAAATGGGTCGCCTGTGAAGAGTCCCAGTGTTTCTAAGGCTTGCAAAATGTATCTGGGTTGATACAATCCTTGTTTTGAGTCAAATGTCATAAAGTTACTTTTGGGCCATCTGCTAAGTATTTGAGATCAAGACGAAAAGGAATGGTGAGATTATTCCAAAACCATGTCCTAGCAAGGTCCTGGTTGGAATCACAGGATGTCAGACTTGAAGGGGACTTCAGAGGTCATATAATCATAAAGACAAAAGTTATAAAGCTGAAGGCACTTTATCAAAGTTTAATCCAGCAGAATAAAATTTCAAAACAGAAAATAGGACAAAATGATTCACAGGTGTTGAGGAATAGAAAAGAAAGTGGCTGGGCTCAGTGGTTCAGCCTGTAATTCCACACTTTGGGAGGCTGAGGTGAGTGGATCGCTTAAGCCCGAGGGTTTGAGACCCGCCTGGGCAACTTGGTGAGACCTCATCTCTACAATAATAAATCAAAAATCAGCCAGGCGTGGTAGTGTGCGCCTGTAGTTCCAGCTACTTGGAAGGCTGAGGCGCAAGGATCACCGGAGCCCCAGCAGGTCGAGGCTGCGGTGGCCGGGAGCGGCCACTGCACTCCAGCCTGGGCAACAGAGTGAGACTCCAACTCAACAACAACAACAACAACAAAAAACAATGAAAAGAAAGTGGAGAGCTGGAAGTAAAGAGAAAGTTTAAAATATAAAACAAACAAGTCCTGGATTTAGAAGTTATGAGATGAAGGTTTGGAAAATATAGAGTTTTTTTCTTTCTAAAAAAAAGAAAAACATCTAATCAGTTATTAAAAAGCAGTATAGAGTTTCAGACAGATGCTAAAGCAATCCATCACCCAAAAAAAAAGAAAAAAGAAATGGGAAATGTCTGTATTAGGCATTTGAGTGATTCAATTATATTTTCACACGTTGTCTCTGGAAATTGCTAACGATGTTACTCTGATTATTTAGCTCTGCTATTTACATTTCATAAACTAGATATATATACTATTTGGCATTCTTCTGCATTGGCAAAGGCATTTCTTGAATAAATACTGTTCAATAAATACTGATATATTTAAACAATTAAAAAAAATTTATTTTTCTTGAGTCAGAGTCTCTGTTGCCCAGGCTGGAGTGCTGTGGCATGCTCACGGTTACCACAGCCTTGACCTCCTGGGCTCAGGTGATCCTTCTACCTCAGCCTCCTGGGTAGCTAGAACTACAGGCATGCACCACAATGCCCGACTAATTTTATTTATATTTATATTTAGAGATGAGGTCTCACCTTGTTGTCCAGGCTGGTCTTGAACCCCTGGACTCAGATAATCTCACTTTGGCCTTCCAAAGTGCTGGGATTACAGGCGTGAGCCACCACGGCCCACCTGTTTAAGCCTTTGACATCTGCTTTTGAATTGTAAGATGACTAAGTGTTAAGGGTATAGCCAACATCCCTGGGCTGGTGTACCTCCTAAATAAGCCAGTGTAGAATGGAAGGGCTTTCCTAAAACTTGTAGTCTCCAGATCACCTTGTAGAGTAACAGTTGATTTGCTTTGTTTTTTTCCTTAAGACTTACAAATTATTCTACTAATTTTTGTCAAAGTTTTCTGTCTGTTAAAAAGTTAAGCTGGGTGCAGTGGTCACGCCTATAATCCCAGGGGTTCAAGACCAGCCTGGGCAACTTGGCTAGACCTCATTTCTATAATCAATCAAAATATTAGCTGGGCGTGGTGGCACACACCTGTAGTTCCAGTTACTTGGAAGGTTGAAAATGTTAGAGTACGGATAGGGTGAGGGTGGATGAATAGATGGGGAGGGGTGCAACACCACTGGAGCTGGCTTGCCGGAGGTGCACGCTGGTAACCAGAGATCCGAGTAAAGATTTGCAACACACAAAGAGGTGAAAGAAGAAAAGATTTATTTAAGAAAGTTTCACTTCCCATTGACAGGAAGCAGGCCTACACTCTAGATGAGTGTGGCCCTGTACCCCCCAGTCCTGGATTAAATCCTTTCCCCTGGAGATGTTGCAATCAGGTAGTTGTGACTGCCGTGACCTCCTTGTTGGCCACTTGTAGATGTCTTGGAGACCCTGGTGGGGGGAGGATCCTGGTCACCAGGCACTGAGTATACAATGGGTCAATACTGGTTATGCTTGAGAAGTCTGGGTTTCTAAAAACGACAAATTACCATCGGCCAGTACCGGTCACGATTAAGGAGTCTGTGTTTCTGAAAAGACAAAGTCGGCAAAGTTAATCTTTACCTAGAGTATGCATTTCTCCAAAACATAGCTTCTACTTTCTCATCATTGTATTAAGGTTTAGGAACAAGATGAAAAATGGATTTCTCCAGGACATAGCTTCTACTTCTTCCTTGTCCTGTCAGGGTTTAAGAACAAGATAAAAATGACTTCCCGCTCTCGGTCTGTCCTTTCAGAGCCCAGCAGGCCGAGGCTGCGGTGGTTGTGAGCATGCCACTGCACTCCAGCCTGGGCGACAGAGTGAGACTTTAAATAATAATAATAAAAAAGTTATAGCTATTGTTTTGTTAAGCACTGGCCAGGCCATGTGTTCCTTGCGCTATGGCAGCCATGTTTCCTAAACTCTGGCCCCTTCCCCTACCCTGGGGAGGCGAATCTCTCTCACTCTCTAATTTACTTTCTTGCTATTGCTTTGTTAAACTCTGGTGTGTCCACTTGGCTCTTTGAGCTATGACAGCCATGTTTCCTAGCTTCAGCCCCCTTCCCTACCTTGGGGAGGTGACTCTCTCTCTCTCTCTAATTTACTTTCTTTTTTTTTTTTGAGTTGGAGTCTCACTCTGTCGCCCAAACTGGAGTGCAGTGGCCACTCCCGGCCACCACAGCCTCAACCTGCTGGGCTCCGGCGATCCTTCTGTCTCAGCCTTCCAAGTAGCTGGAACTACAGGCTGAGCCACCGAGCCCGGCTTACTTTCTAAATAAACCATATTTTTCAATCTTTTTAAAAAAAAGTTATTAGTTGGGCCAGGTGGCTCACAGCTGTAATCCCAGCACTTTGGGATTGCTTGAGGCCAGGAGTTCGAGACCTGCCTGTGCAGCACAGCGAGATCCCATAGGTGAGCGTGGTGGCTCCTGCCTGTATTCCCAGCTACTTGGGAGGCTGAAAATAAAGAATCACTGAAGTCTAGGAGGTTGAAGCTGCTGTGACCTACAATCACACACTACTGTACTCCAGCCGGGGCGACAGAACAAGACTCCATCTCTAAAAAAATAAAAATAAAAAAAATTAGCCAGGCTCGGTGGCTCAGCCTGTAATCCCACGCTTTGGGAGGCTGAGGTGAGTGGATTGCCCACCAGCAGGTTTGAGACCCGCCTGGGCAATTTGGCGAGACCTCATCTCTACAATAAATCAAAAAGAATAGGCCGGGCGTGGTAGCGTGCACCTGTAGTTCCAGCTACTTGGAAGGCTGAGACCGAAGGATCACCGGAGCACAGCAGGTCGAGGCTGTGGTGTCCAGGAGTGGCCACTGCACTCCAGTCTGGGCGACAGAGTGAGACTCCAACTCAAAAAAAAATAAATAAATAAAATATAATAAATTATTCAATGTTCATTTGTCCCCCTTATCACAACTCAGTGGACAGAAATTATCTGACCTTGTGAGATGCATCTGAAACATAAAAAGGTGATGCCAGTGTCGAAAGGGTCTGGGATAGAGAAGATTCGGGGATGGCGATGGGACTGATCCTCAAGCTCCTTCAAAAGATTCTCGGTTAGGGCCCGGCACGGCGGCTCACGCTTGTAATCCCAGCACTTTGGGAGGCTGAGGTGAGAGGCTTGCCTGAGCCCATGGGCTTGAGACCAGCCTGGCAACTTGGCGAGACCTCATAGCTGCAATAAATAAAAAAACTAGCCGGGTGTGGTGGCATGCGCCTATAGTTCCAGCTACTTGGAAGGCCGAGTCCGGAAGGGTCCCCTGAGCCCAGCAGGTCGAGGCTGCGGTGGCCGTGAGCGTCCCATTGCCCTCCACTGTGCGACAGAGTGAGACTCCAACTCTTAAAAAAAAAAGAAAAAGAAAAAAATCGATTCTGGACCCTGCCTCAGACTAATTGGCTCAGGATCCCCTGAGGTGGTAACTGGAAATGGCATTTTTTAAGCAAGAGCCAGACTGCTCGGGAACACGCCCCCTATCTCCGCGGGCCTCGCCCAGGCCCCGCCCCCCGCGCGCGCCCCACTCCGGCCTCGCCCAGGCCCCTCCCTCCGGGCCCGCCCACCACCTCGCGCGGCCTCACGGGCCGCCTCCCGTGATACCCCGCGCCCGCTGTCGCGGTTGCCGGGCAACGCGCGCTCCTGGGCGCCGGCCGCGCGAGCTCCGCTGCGCGATGGGGCCGCGAGGCCTCCCGCCGCCGCTGCTGCTGGTGCTCCTGGGCGGCTGGGCCTCGGTGAGCGCCCAGACCGGGGTCACCCCGGCGGTGACGACGGAGGGCCTCAACTCTACCGAGGCAGCTCCGGCCACCCTCGGGCCCTCCCTGTCGCCTAGGCCCCCCGGAACCCCCAAGGCCCCGGCGCCCACCTCCACCCCCAGGCCCACCCCAGTCACGGACGGTGGGTACCATGTGCCAACCCCTGGGGTCCCCTGTGATCCATCCTGGAGGGAGTGGCCCGGGTGGGGATGCAATAATAATAATGGCAGCAAGGCTTATTGAGCGCTTACTCTGTGCAGACGTTCATCCTCTCAGTATCCCTGAGAGGTGGATGTGGTTGGCCCTGCCGTGCAAATGAGGAGACCGAGGCTCAGAGATTGTGGGTGGGACAGTATCACATCTCTGAAAGTACTTGGAGTGGTCCTGGACAGCATGATGCTAAAAGGAATAACAAATCCTTGCAGCTGAAGACGGAATTAAATAGTTCCTAGACAATGATGGACATTAATGCATAGGCTGTGTGAACTTTTCACTTATATCAAAAAGAGAAGCCAGAGGTCTTGCTTACTAAGTGTGACCGGGTCAGAGCCTTGTCTGTTGACTTGGATTATGAAAAGCCAGGACTCCTCCTGTGTCGCACTGGAGGTGGGAAGGTAGGGGTGAGGGGTTAGGCCCACTTCTTAGGATTCCTATTTAGGGAGAGTTAACAAATTTCTCAGAAAATGATTCTCTAATCCTGGAGTTACACGTTTAGTGAATATTTTATAATCTAATTGGACGTAGGTGGCTTCAGGGAATGGCTGTAACCCCCCTAAGACTGAGTGGAAAATTTTGTGAATATGCCCTTTTCTGGGGTCAGGTCTCATGGCAGTCAGCAGGTTTTCAAAGGATTTTGTGATCTTGAAAAAAAAAGTTTTGGTTTTTTTTTTTAAGTCGTCTGACCATGTGGATTGAGAGCTGCCCTAATAGGTATGCAGAATTTTTTATCCCTTTTTAAGAGAAAAAAATTCTAGCCGGGCTCGGTGGCTCAGCCTGTAATCCCGCGCTTTGGGAGGCTGAGGTGAGTAGATTGCCTGAGCCTGCGGGTTCGAGACCCGCCTGGGCAACTTGGCGAGACCTCATCTCTACAATAAATCAAAAAATCAGCCGGGCGTGGTAGTGCATGCCTGTAATTCCAGCTACTTGGAAGGCTGAGGCGGAAGGATCGCCGGAGCCCAGCAGGTCAAGGCTGCGGTGGCCAGAAGTGGCCACTTCAGTCTGGGCGACAGAGTGAGACTCCTACTCAAAAAAAAAAATAAAAAAAATCTGAAATTGACTAAGGTTCAGTACTAGTAAATAAAAAAGTCATAGTTGACTGACATTCACTCTAGGATTTAAGTTCAGTTACTGAACCATTATTTCTCCAAAAGGCCTCCTTTTTAAACTGAGTAGTCTGTAAGAAAAAGTACAGAAAAACAAGTTTGCTTTTTAAAGATATAAATAAAAACTGTTTTATATTTGAACTGTTGATTTGATGAATTAGTAGGGAAGTTAAAATCCGTGAGAAATTCAGACAGAGTATAGCTGACTGCCTGAAAACTCTCTAAGGTTTTTAGGCTGGGTTGTCTTTTGTTCATGTAGGTACTCCATCTGTTAAAGCACTTGGTCTCCAAAATGAAGCTTTGCTTTTGTATTCAGGGCTGTCTTTCCAGCATGGGGGGTGAATTTGTACTTTTCTTCATCTTTTTTTTTTTGAGTTGGAGTCTCACTCTGTCGCCCAGACTGGAGTGCAGTGGCCGCTCCCGGCCACCGCAGCCTCGACCTGCTGGGCTCCGGCGATCCTTCCGCCTCAGCCTTCCGAGTAGCCGGAATTACAGGCATGCGCTACCACGCCTGGCTGATTTTTTTATTTATTGTAGAGATGAGGTCTCGCCTGCCCAGGCGGGTCTGAAACCCGCGGGCTCAGGCAATCCACTCACCTCAGCCTCCCAAAGGCGCGGGATTACAGGCTGAGCCACCGAGCCCGACTGTCTTCATCTTTTTAAAGGACCCCTCTTAAGACCTGTGCCAGTAGTTACCTGCTTACTGTGTGACAGGCACTGTGCTAAGCATTTTACCTGTGAGATATCGCTTTTCATCCTCACAGCCGCCGTGTAATGTGGGCATTGTTATCCCCATTTTTTGGGTAGGTGAATTACTTGCCTAATTTTAGGCCACAAAGCAGGTAGGTGTTGGGGCGGGAGGTTGACTCTGAGTGGAGAACTGGAAGGAAATTTGCAGAATGGCTGTGGGCAGTGTTGTCTTGAATCTGAGTTCTATTCATTGGGACCCTGCATCGTGAGCCAGGCATGCAGGCGGTAAGAGGCGTGCAGTAATAGCCAAGTGTTGCCTGGACCCAGCAGGGCTACGCAGAGACTTGTTGGATGATTAAGAGCACTAACATCTTGGTAGAGACCTTTTTCTCAAGTTATTAAACACTACTGCTTTATCCTTAGTATTCGTACAGCTACTTACAAGGGTTTTACGTTTTGAAAACAAAACAGCCGGGCTCGGTGGCTCAGCCTGTAATCCCACGCCTTTGGGAGGCTGAGGTGAGTGGATTGCCTGAGCCCGCGGGTTCGAGACCCGCCTGGGCAGGCGAGACCTCATCTCTACAATAAATCAAAAAATTAGCCGGGCGTGGTAGCGTGCGCCTGTAGTTCCAGCTACGTGGAAGGTTGAGGTGGAAGGATCGTCGGAGCCCAGCGGGTCGAGGCTGCGGTGGCCGGGAGTGGCCGCTGCACTCCAGTCTGGGTGACAGAGTGAGACTTCAATTCAAAAAAAAAAAAAAAAAAAGAAAGAAAACAAAACAGGCCGGGTGTGGTGGCTCATGCCTATAATCTCAGCACTTTGGGAAGCCGAGGTGAGAGGATTACCTGAGCCCACGAGTTTGAGACCCCATCCTGGGCAACTTGCTGAGACCTTGTTTTTACAATAAATCAACAAACTAGCTGGGCGTAGTGGCGTGTGCCTAAAGTTTCAGCTACTTGGAAGGCTAAGGTAGAAGGATTGTCTGAGCCCAGCAGGTCAAGGCTGTGGTGGCCATGAGCGTGCCACTGCACTCCAGCCTAGGCAACAGAGTGAGACTCTAACTCAAAAATAAATAAATAAATAAATAAAACAAGATTGTAATTTTAATTTTTATTTATTGAGTCGGAGTCTCACTCTATCACCCAGACTGGAGTGCAGTGGCATGCTCACGGCCACTGCAGCCTCTACCTGCTATTTATAAATAAATAAAAGTTGCTAGAAAATTTCTCTCCCTCATCTATGCTTTTTTGCTTAAATTACCAAAGATATGCTAAGCACCTGAGCCATTTGATTCTTGGTCAAGAACTGGTGACTATGAGCTAGGCTTCAGAGCTGCGGGTTATATATGAGCAGAAGGACAGGTGAAAAACCCCCTTTCTTGAAGGTGTTGAGTGGGCCCTTCATCTGAATCACAATCTCTAGAGGAGGGGTTTGGGAAGCTGCGATTTCAAACCAGTGGTTCTTATGATTAGGAAACTAACTTAGGTGTGCTGGTTTTTAAACATGTCTTAATTATCAGCATCACCTGGAAAGTTTTTGCGCATACAGATGTCTGGGTTTCCTACTCAGCTTACCACACTGGAGTCTTGGTATGCAGCTCACTAACAAAACTTTGCACGTGCATCAGATGATGAACCACTTGGGAACCTCTGATTTTAGAGTGTTCAAACTGACTAATTTCCACTTGACAGATTTCCCCCAAAGTGCAAAAGGAAAAATAAAACAGACCTTTTGTATGAAATTGATTGATGATATATTGTGGGGCGGGGGGGCAGTCACTGCCTGCTATTACGATGCTCTAGCTCTTACCCCTCTTATTTCTGTAGTTGCTACTCTGTGTGTCTGTGACTTGTCCCCAACACAATGTGACGTTAACTGCTGTTGCGATCCTGACTGCACCTCCGCAGATTTCAGTGTTTTTTCTGCCTGCTCAGTTCCGGTTGTCACGTAAGTTTACGACACATGCAGTTTGATAAAATTTGACAAAATAGTAAAATTTGGGGACAGAAAGTGAAAACTCCCCCAGGCTGAGAAAACAAACCTAATTTCCTGTATTTTACATCATTCAGAAGCCATACTGTGCAAACCAATATGCAAAAGAGTAACTATCTCTGTCTGCATAGTGTAGACAAAAGAAGAGTGTATGTTTCTCCTAAAGAGGACGGACGTATAAGGAAATTTCTCAGTGTCTGGAGCTTGAATCACATTTCAGTTTGAGTTGTAAACAGACATTGGGTCACATTTTTTTGTATCAGTGAGTTAGTCTCATGTATAACCTAGGGGGGAAAAGTGCAGTTTAATTTGACAGCTTTTGTTGTGAACATAGTACTTGTAACAAAAAATGAAATAGGTAGTCAGGAAAGCTTTGTTTGTACTTTTCTGATATGTAAATCTAGTAGGAATTTTCACAGTTCACATTATATAGAACAATGGAAAATGACATTCCCAACCAATTACAAGGTAAAAAAAATTTTTTGTTGTTTTGAATGATTTGTTCTCATAATTGAGGCTTAAAAGGTTTTTGAAAAAACAGCAGCACTTAGAAAAGATTTACTTATCTAGAATGGGACCAACTTCTATTCAGAAATTGCTAATTTAATTTTTTTTTTTGAATCAGAGTCCACCACACCTGGCTAATTTTTAATTTTTTGAGAGACAAGATCTCTCCATGTTGCCTGGGCTGGTCTTGAACTCCTGGCTTTGATTCTCCCAGTTCAGTCTCCCTAAATGCTGGGATTACAGGTATGAGCCACTACTCCCGACCTAAATTTAGCCTTGTGCCAAGTTTTAACAATTGATGCTTGATGGGTTGATTCCTTTTTGGAAGTACGATGGGTTTTTCCCATGAGAAACTATTTTATTGACCAGTAGGAAATCGAGTCTATTTCTGGTATTATAAAAATGCTTGGAGAAGCCGGGCTCGGTGGCTCAGCCTGTAATCCCGCGCCTGTGGGAAGCTGAGGTGAGTGGATTGCCTGAGCCCGCGGGTTCGAGAACCGCCTGGGCAACTTGGCGAGACCTCATCTCTACAATAAATCAAAAAATTAGC